TATCGTGTTGCACTTATGATGGAACCGATCCTTATCGACAACGGTGGAAATCAGAGCCCCTATCGGGGTACATGAGGTAATCCTGCAACTTTCACACAGCCTAGCAGGCATAGGGCAGCAAACCTCACACGCCCTCATTCCACAACCAACGCAAGGACCAAGAGGGAAACCAGGCTCAGGGATCCTGCTACACTTAGTGCACCTGTCCCGTCCATCATCTCCCCTCAAGGCTTCAGGGAGAAGACCACCATCTCCCTGCCTACCGGCACCATTCACACTATAGCCGAGGCTAAGACCTGGCCCAAGGTTACCACCGCTCGCAACACTTGAGGGGTAACCTGCAGCATTGCTAGACTGACTAACGCCAGCGCCAACCCCTTGGTGACTAACGCCACCTCCGTAGGCAGGACCATAGAAGCTGGAACCACACTGATTGTTCCCAGTTCCTTGAGTGTCAGCAGCACTACCATGGAACCCGGGTGCTCCACCAGGGTAGGCGCCCCTCCACTCTGGCCGCCAGTGGGTCCAGCGGGACCTGAGCCTCCGCCAGGATGTCCAGGACCTGGTGGTGGAAGTGGAGCATGTCCATGACCACCGCTTCCGCTCCCACCTTGACCAGGTGGTCCGCCTTGCCCACCACCTCCCCCGGGAGGAGGAGGAGGAGGGGGCGGTCCAGCTTGAGCGCGTTCATGCCGAATATTGCAGCGCGCACATCGCTCAAGGCCATCATTTCCAAAGTAACTGTGATTCTCACAGACGTGAGTCCCACAATCCGTGCAGAAATACATGGAGACCTCCTGAGCATTCTTGCGACATGCCCAGCATTTCATTTTCAAGAACTGACAATTGCAACAGTCCCCGTCGTCACCCCGGCAAAGCCTGCAAAACTCACGATTGCACGTAACACACGAGAATTCAGCGCTTGGGTGCCTACGGTCGTTGGGATCATCGAGGGCACAAATCTTTGGCGCATCTGGGCCACCGGTACCGGGAGCTCCTCTTGCGGCCGGTGCCGAGGCCTGTCCATGTCGTACTCCCAGGAGTCCTCCAGTCATCGCCGGGACTCTGAATGTCGGCATGGGCCCTAATACCCCTACCACCTCCTGGATGACGGTCTGGGTTCGGAGAGACGTTCCCGCTATCGCGGATCGGCCTATCCAGGTTCGGAGAGATGCTCCCGCTATCGCGGATTGGCCTCTCCCCCCTTGATTGCCGACTTCGGACCTCAGATCCCCTATCGGGGACGGCAGCAGGCCTCGGGCTCCTATTCCTACCCACATCCCTATTGGGAGAAACAGAAATGTCCCCCCTTGCGCGCGCGCGGGGGCCATCCCTCGCACGCCCTGGCGGTGAATGCGACCTGTCAGGCAATCCCCGAGCCCTCCTGCTTCTGCTGTCATCCCTCTCCCTATCGGGATAAATGGGATGCCTGTCTGCACGAGAAGGATCGACCCTACCGGGCACATCTGGCAAAGCGTGATCGACCAAATCGACACCTCCGCCCGGTCTCACCGGAAGGCCAGTACCCCGGCCATTACCTTCTCCGGGAGTGGGCGTCGGAGACCTGATTCTGTGTCCTTGCCCCGCGAAGGCGTCGTATCCGACGTTCCGTCTCTCTCTAGGCTGTGGGGGATTCGCCTGATTGTCCTGGGCACCTTGAATAATGACAGCAGCTTCATCAACATGACCTTCGATTTCATAGAGCTGAGCCATGATCCTGTTGTTCATTCCATTAAGAGTACGCATGTTACTCTCAACAGTGCTGATCCTCCGCATAGCGCCCTCAAGCGTACCCCTGAATGAGTCAATCTCACGCCTAACGGCAGACCGTGCTTGATCACTATTTGCAGGGAGACTGCGGATCTGTCTTCTGATGTCATCAAGAACTTGATTCAGAATTCCCGAACTCGCCTCGTACTGCTCAACACGGGATTTCAAGGTTTCAAACCTTGCAAGGACATCGTCATGGTCCCCATGGTGGCGTTGAGCTCCACGGGATAGATCCTGGATCTTTCGATTGACTTCGTCAATTGCTTCATGCCAGTCCTGCGGGGATACGGGCCCTGATGATCTATCGATCGCCTGTGAACCCCTTCCACTTTGCAGCCTCGACATCCGATTAGCGAGAAGGGTTTGCTCTTCATTGATGCCACCAATAGATTCGGAGGCCCACTTAGCAAACTTCTCGTGTTCGAGGAGAGCCTTCTCGAGCTTCAGGCTTAACTCCCTGAAATTCGCGTTCACCACACTGCTACTGGCCCTATCGGACGGTTGCGCGACAGGATTCAAATTCCATTCACCTGCCGGCGTCCGCATCCCGACGGTCTTCTCTACCGAGAACATCCTTTTCTCGAGCTTTTCCAAGTCCTTAAGGATCTCATCCTCGGAAGCAGCATGGCTCCTGTGGACGGCCTCACGATTCTCTTGAATCACCTGACGAAGCCGATCAGTCGCGGCCTCATTGTCCTTAACAGATTCGTGAACCTCGTGGGAAAGTAGATTAATCCTCTGCTCCACGACTTCAGCCTGTTCATCGATGGCTTGCCTCACAATGGCTTTGCTGTCGGGAATAACTTCCCTTGCAAACCGTTGAACTATCATTCGCATCCTCCCGGCATCAGATTGAGTTGCAACCTCAGCTGCCAGGCGATCGACCTTGTCCTTCGTCTGCCGGCTCTCGTCGCTCCATTCCCTTCGCAAGGAACTCACCTGACCGTTCAGTAACCTGATTTGGTCAGCAAAAATATGGAACGCCTTCGCGACTGAGCCAGAAACCTCACCCCTCTCGAGCATCTCCTGGATGTGCAACTCAAACATCTCCTTTGCCCTGACGTCACCTGATTCGCCGGAAGACTGGGATCTGAGGGCGGGAGGAGTCGATATCTCGATCCTCTCAGGAGCCCCACCATCCCCGGCATGTCTTCTTGGGTCATCTACGGGACAATCATCAATCCTGGATGGCCTACTCGGGGTAGATCCCCTTCTCCGGCTATCGCCAGATCGGGGATCAATGTTGGATGCACGTGACTCGGGGGTGGAGTGAATGTGTACATCAGCAGGATCGGGCATCTCCTCATCCTGCAGAGCCAAACCCATTGGTGAGGGGCTAGCCCTCCTCGCCTTCGACCTATCGGTCTCAATGGCGAGAGGTGACGGCCTCTTCGCAGAAACACTACGTTCCCTGGCGGTCGAGCCCCATTGAGGTGTAAACTCGTTACTAGACCTCAGCGTTTCAAGATCGCTGGTATCTCGCCCTAACGGGCTAGCAATCGACGGACGATCTTCGATCCCGAGTGCATCGGCAAGCCGACCATCTCTGGCACCTGTCCTAACGACATCGGCAGCCCGCTCAGTGATCCTCGGCGAACCAGTAACCCGGTTCGAGTTCACGTCTCTCTGACTCAACGGACCTCCAAAGGTAATGTTGGGAAAAGGGGGAACATTCGGGGTATCACCAATCGCCGGAGGACCTATCGGTCCCTCACGGTCATGGATGGCCTCCAATCCCCGAAGAACTTCCCGACTATCCCTAGCTCTCTCTCTCTCGCTTCGTACGTCCCTGTCAACACGAAAGTCCCTGGCGGCTCCACGAGAGAGGCTCCTGGGCCTCGCAGCATCACGGATCCTAGCACTTCGGCGTGATTGGTCCTCCTCCTCATCACGGCGATCCGCAAATGCGGCATACTCGTCATCATCACCGACCTCAAACTTGGCAGCGGCAGGGCTAACCCTTGCAGCCGCACGGTTGCCTGCATTTCGGCGCGAATGGCCCTCCTCCTCATCCGCAAAATTGTAATCTTCGTCATCATAAGACTCAGATTTGGCAGTAATAGGGTTGGGCCTACCGGCATCAGATCCCTGCTTTGAGCTACTGCCCCATCCTGCGGTCGATTTCAACAGATCATCGTATCCGAAGTCTGAGAACTTCCGCTCCTCGTGCTCATCAAACTGACCTGGATTCTGAGAACCAGTGGATCGGCCCGGGATACCTCCCGGAGCCAGAACCATAGTCCCTGGTCCCTGCGGCCTATTCTCAAACTCATCCGAGACCTGCGACTCACCTGGAACAAGAGATCTCGGAGGTCGAACCGGCATGGCCTCCGGGTCGTCCGAATGAGGGCGGGCCATGTCCATCGCCATGCTGATGAAGTCAAAATGTCCACGCCTGTGACCTGATTCAGAGCCACTCCTATCGGAGTAAACCCTTCGTGTCTGCTCGTCATCAGTGGCCTGGCGGAAAATACGATCGTCTCCATCGTCGGCGTACCTGCCACGGCCCCTGGGTGTATCCCTACCGGGATCTTCACCCCTGCGGTCCTGACCTGTCGAACCTGCTTCGAAATCCTCGTAGTCATAGTCCGGTAGGTCCTCACCTGAGCGGAGGCCACCTAGGATGGCCTCCTCATCCACGACGCTCCTGCGAGATCGTGGGGTCGACATAGAGCTTGTAGTTGATGGTCTCAAGCGCGTAGGAAAGTCCTACGGCTGATAACCTGTGATTCGGGCACGAGCCTGTGCCCAGGCAATGGGTAAGTTGGGGTAAACAAGCCACAAAAGAAAGGTTCCCCAAAAGCAAACCAGTCCCCGGTCCCAAAGATCAGGGTTTCCCACACACCAGAGAACAACAACCAAAAGGAAACTGTGGATTGTGAAGTAAACCCACTCGACCCGTCACACGTTGGCTCAAGAAAAAGTGTGCAGCGCTGAGCTGTGCATTTGGACCCCTTTTTGGTTTTTGTGTTTCGTAGGTTATGAGCCCAAAGGAGCTCTGATGGACCTGCTTCGTCGAAGGCGGCCTGCTATCGGAGCTGGAGGTCACGCGGGAGGGCAAGGTGATCATTCAGAAGGTCGACAAGGGCAAGACCAGTTGGTCCAGGCGGGCGAGACGGCGGACCAGGCCTTGGATAGGCTGATCGTGGAGGACCTCAGGCGCGGAGCTCTCAGGAGATCAAGATCGGTGCCACCACCAACGTCGGGACCAGGACTTAGGAGGCTGACCGATGCTGGAGATGAGACCGCGAGGATGGGGAGCGCAGGATCGCGTGATGGGATACCTCCACCCCCTGGGATTGCTCAAGGGCCAGGAGGTCAGGGGGCTCCAGGACTGGTGGTGAATCCGGTGGAAGGACCCAGACCTGGTCTTGGCGATCGTGGGATACCAGGAGAAGGAGCACATCCAGGACGACTAGGTGAAGGTGCTCTACGGCAAGGTCATCATCCGGGAGAAGGGCAACGGCCTGGACCTGGAGATCAAGGATGGCAAGACGATGGAGGTCGTGGGGGAACGTATGGCCAGGTGAGGCCTTTGACCCTTTGGCCTGTTGATGAACATGGTCCGGATCAAGAACAAAGAGGAAATGGATCGGCGGGTCGAGGACGTCGTCCAGAAGGAGTTGCTGGTGCTGCTGGAGGGTGGCAGTGGGTACCTCCTGCAGCGGAAGCTCAATGGCAAGGTTGGGATAATCGCGGAGGTAATGGTGAGCCGCTGCAACAACCGCCACAGGTCAACCCGTTTTGGAGCCCCGAGGTTCAGAGGAGAGCCATCGCGGCTGGGATGCCTGTTGCTGAAAGTCAGGGAGGTTTCGTGGGATCGCCGCAGCGACCTGAGCCAGGGTCTCAAGGGAGGTCTCAACAAACAGTGGATGTGGATGGCCTCAGGCGGAGGATCATGAAGGAAGCCGAGGAAGCATTTCAGCTGGAGCTGAATAGACTGAACCAAGCTGGGGGGAGCTACAGTGACGAAGCGTCCTTCCGCACGGCTCAGAGCGACCCGATTCCTCCTCCGCCACCACCACCCCCTCCACCGAGAGGGATGCCACCAGAGGACAGTGCTTTGCGGACGGCAGCCAACATGACGGAGGCGTTGAGGAACTTAGAGCTCCCGGCGTTACCACCTCCTGGGGGCGACATGGCGTCATTGCAGTTTGGTGATTGGGTGACGGTGATCAACCCCCTGATGTCGGACATCGCTGGATCGGCAAGGACCTGGTGGAGAAAGGTAGTGGAGCAAGCGGAACAGGCCTACGCGAGATGGTTGGTGGCAACTCCCCTGGAGAAGATTCGGCTACTACCTGAATTGGATTTGGGTGCGGAGCACAACTTCCGGGTGGAGCAGAGGGGCGTCTCTATGCTCTTGGCGGCCGTGCCCGACGGGATACGTCGGGATATCATATCGTCAAGGAGAATGTCATCGATCAACGTGATGTTTCGCCTGTACCAGATCTACCAACCAGGTGGCCAATCGGAACGTGGGACCCTTTTGAAGAACCTGGCGGACCACAAGATTGGAACGTCCAATGCGGAGGCGCTGCAAACGCTGAGGCAGTGGAGGAGATGGTTGAGCAGAGCGGAGGAGCTGGGTCTGGCGCTGCCAGATGGCCTGGTTCTCATGGCGGTTCTCAACAAGGTCGGAGAGGTCATCAGCAAGGGCAACGGCCAGGTTGGCTTCAGGATTGCATCGGTCAGACAGGAATTGATGGTTGACGTAAGGCCGGATCTGGAGTACATAAAGCTCTACGCGGAGTTTCTGCAGGCAGAGTCGGAAGAGCTGGCTTTGGCGTCATCGGCTAAAACTCCTACGGCAAGTCCACCTCCGGCTCCCAATGCCAATGCACCAGCGAACCCGGTGCTCAAGGCGTTTGCGGATCAGAAGTACCAGGACGGCAAACCCGGGGGCTTCGACAAGAAAAAGACTTCGAGTATGCCTTGTCGGTTCTGGGGTACTGAGGAAGGTTGCAGACGAGGCAGCGGCTGTAGTTTTGCGCACTCATGGGAGGGCATCACGAAGACGAACCGCTGCTTTCAGTGCTCGGGGGTCGGGCATGCGAAAAAGGACTGCCCCATCAAGGTGAAGGATCCTGCGGCACCCAAGGTTGCGGCGTCCAAGATGGTTAAAGGAAGAGAGGAAGACGGAAAGAAGGCTGCGGAAGGCCTCAGAGAAGCCACGAGCGGTGTCCCGGAACCTCCCAAGGAGACGGTCACAGGAGGCGCCAAGGCATCGGGGGGGGCTACTAAACCAACGGTCAACGGCAGCACAGCAGCAGGTTCGGGGGAGGACTTGATTAAGGAAGTGACGGGCCTCCTCAAAACGATGAGAGCGGCCAAGTTCAAGGTGAAGCAGATCTGTTATGGTGAAGCAGACGCGGATCAGGAGTTGGCGTTGCTCGATGGTGGGGCTACGCATCCGCTTCGTCAGGCGCGCCCGGAGGAGTTAAACGGGCTGGTGGAGTGCGAAGTGGAGTTGGCGTGTGGCACGGCGGTGATGTATAAGCACAAGGACACGATCGCCCTGCTGACGAAGGAACCGGTGGAGCCAATAGTGCCATTGAGGACGTTGGTGGAGGCTGGTTTCGTGATCAATTGGACAGCCAAGGGATGCCGTATTGAGCACCGCCGGCTGGGACGATTGGACTGCTGGTTGAGATCGGGCTGTCCAGTTATGGAACGGAAGGCAGCGATGAAGCTCCTGGACTTCTTGGACTCGGCCGGAGCATCGGAATGGGTAACCAACGATGAAGAATGGTGGAGGTCGAGGTTTCCGGAGCTACCAAAGCGGGTGTTGGCCTACATGATGCGGGTCACGGACGAGGGCGAGACAAATGGCAGGTGTCCATTCAACCGGAGACTTCGACGACGTTGGGAGTCTGGCCGGGGAGTAGTGATCCACTTGTTCTCGGGCAAGGATGGAAGGCAGTGGAGAAAGACGGGCCTGGAAGGCTTCGAGGTCATCACGGTGGACGTGCAAGAGGATTCGCGGCAGGATCTGCACAACCCGGCCCTGTGGGGCTATCTGTGGAAACTAGCGGAGATGGGTCTGATCAAGGCAGTGATCGGAGGACCTCCGTGCCGAACAGTCTCACGATTACGGCACATCCAGCCAGGGCCTCCTCCTCTACGCGGACGTGACGATCTTCGGTTCGGCCTCCCGGGAATCAGTGCAGAGAACCAACAGAAGGTCGATGGAGACACGGCGCTGTTCTTCAAGCAGGTCGGGCTGTGGCTCAAGGCGATGGAGAACAAGCCTCCGTGGATGCCTGACATCGGGTTTTTGCAAGAGAGCCCGATGGACCCCATGAAGTATGTTAAGGAACCGAGGGCGGGATCCATCCCCTCGTTCTGGAATTTCCCGGAGATCATTGAGTTCGGACGGGAGAGGAACATGAAGATGGTGGATTTGGATCAGGGAGCTTGCGGACACCAAAGGAGGAAGCCCACTACCTTGCTCACGAACCTGCCGGGCATGGAGGACTTGGCGGGGATGAAGGGTGAGGGAAGGGAGGAATTAGAAGAAGATCTGGAGGGGCGACTTCGGCAATCTCGGGAGTGGGCTGCTTGGGCACCGGGGATGGTGGCGGCGATCAAGGCTTCGTTGCAGGTCTATCTTCGGAACATCAGCCAGATGAACCATGTAAAGGTAAAAAAGGCGATGAGCTTGGAGCAGTGGAAGCAACACGTTCATCGTGGACATGTGCCATTTGACCGGAGATGCCGGATGTGTCTCCAAGAAGCAGGAGTGGACCGACCCCATCGAAGGTTGAAGGCGGCGGTGTCGGCCTATGTGCTCAACGTTGACATCACGGGCCCTTTTGTCGCAGGAAGCGATGTGGGCACGGGAAAAAAGGTGAAGTACGCTTTGGTGGCCACGGTGGCTATTCCTGTGAAGGAGGTGACCCCGGGACCTGGAGAAGCAGATGGAGAAGAAGAAGAAGAAGAGCTACGAGGCGAGCGTGAGCATCAAGGAGAGCCGGGGGACTCGGCAGATCCTGGATACCATGCTGCCGAGGATGAGGCTCTAGAAGGGCTGGAATGCGATGATGAGGAGCCTCGGGTCAGTGATGCGGTGGCAGAAGCGGTCAACGTCAAAGTGCGGGACGACATGAAGGACGCGCTACGAGGGTACCAGGTGCAGAACGTCACGGCGGTGGAGCTTCTGGAATCTCGCAAGACCAAGGACGTGCTGTTGGCTCTTGGGCTCCTGTTTTCCAAATATCGGAGCATGGGCATACCCCTCTACCGCATGCACTGCGACAGAGCCAAGGAATTCCTCGCGAAACCGGTTCGTCAGTGGTGTGCTGAACGCAACATGATCCTCACGCTCACTGGTGGGGATGACCACGCTGCAAATGGGCGAGTGGAAGGCGAGATCTGCCAGCTGAAGAGAAGGCTGCGAGTAACTCTCAAAGCATCCGGGGCGCCTGTTCGCTTGTGGCCGACGGCAATAAGACACGTGGCGCTGGAACGAATGCAGGACCAACTCAAGAGCCTGGGGATCACGCCAATGCCGATGCTGCCCTACTATGCGCAGGTGATGGTCAAGACGAAGCGCTGGCACAAGAGTGGTGGTTTGGCGGCACCCTTCAAGCAAGTGAGGTTGCTAGGACCCAGTCCAACTATGATGTGGGGCTGGGTGGTCCAGACCGCAGAAGGTAATGTTCAACATGCGCGGGCGGCGATTTTGCCAGAACCACTTGCTGACCGGGCCATGTACGAGCTCACCATCGACCCGAACCCTGGTAAACCGTGGAAGAGATGTCGAGGGAAGCAAAGCCTCGAGCCTGGGGGAGCTCCTCGCCTCGGAAATGCAGATGGTGGAGCAGAACCAGGAGAACCCGCTCTACGACTTCTGCGAGCGGGGGGGGAGTACGGAGATGGTGATGAAAAAGTTCATGAAGCGCTACCTGGTGGGTGGAAGCCGGAAACGTCAATCTGGAGGTCGTCATGGCCGCTGGACTGGAACGTGGAGGAGTATCGGGAAGCTCTGGGAGAAAGATATTGGAAGTGCAGGAGGCATTACGGAGAGGAGCTGAAACGGATTTCTCTGCATGAGGAAGGAGGTGCAGCGCAGGCCATTGTCATGGACTACCTCTCCAAAGAGCTGTCGCAGGCGGAAGAAGAGCTTGAATTCCTTAGGGATCAGGAGGTGGAGGGCATCAATCGGTTGTGCTCCATGCAGGCGGCTGGTCCGGGGGAGATTGAGAAGGTGCTGCAGACGTACACGGTCCCACTGAGCGCAGTTCGACAGGACTTGGAAAAGTGGAAGCCGGCTATGGAAGAGGAGTACCAAGCGATCACCGAGACGTCAGGGGTTGTGGAGAAGGTAAATGAAGACGACCTGGCCAATATCCCGGGCATCGAGGACGCGGAATACGCCCCGGCCAAGCTGGTCACCACGATCAAGGCACCTCATGGTCGGCATCGAGCTCGAGTGGTTATCTGCGGGAATATGCTCACGGCTATGAATGGCGAAAAGGAGCAGACGCCCGTAGATAAGAAGGACAATTACGCTTCGGGCGTGGACGGAACGGCAATCAGGTGTGTCCTTCGGAAGGCAGCGCACGAGAAGTGGGGAATTGCGGCGGTGGACGTGAAGGGCGCGTTCCTCCTAGCACCACGAAAGGAGACGAGAAGGACGTTGATTACGCGACCTCCGCAGATTCTCCTGCAAGCGGGGCTGTGTGGCCCAAAGGAAAGGTGGTGGGTAAAGGGAGCAATGTATGGACTGGATAGCTCTCCGGCTGACTGGGCGGCTTTCCGGGACGCATCCCTGAAGAACTTCAATTGGAGCGATGGTGGTGCCCACTACTCGCTGACATCAACCTCGGAGTCAAATCTGTGGTCGGTGGTGGAAAAGAGGAACGACGGCAAGAGTGGCAAAGTCGTGGGCCACGTGGTGGTCTATGTGGACGACATGATGGTTTGCGGACCTGACAGTGTAGTTCAAGGATGTTTGGACCGCATTGCCAAGGAATGGTCCTGTAGCCAGCCGGAGTGGGTTTGCTTGGAGAAGTGGATTAAGTTCTGCGGCTTCGAGCTCCGATGGGGTGAGCGGGGACTACTCCTAGGACAGCCTTCCTACATTGGGGAGCTTGCACATCGACATGGAGTTCAGCAACCTAGGCCAGTCCCGTTTTCCAAGCCGGAGGTGCCGGAAGGCGTCGATGTGAATGCAGATGATGTCAAGAAGGCGCAAGGCTTGGTGGGAGAGCTTCTGTGGCTTTCGGTTAGGACAAGGCCAGACATTTCCTTCGGGGTGGCCTGGATGGCGCAGCACATCACCAAGTGTCCTCAGCTGGTGGTAAAGGCGGCGGAGGAGATGGTGGGCTATCTGCTGGGTACGCAGTCACTAGGACTGAGCTACGAGAGGTGTGTCGGAGGTCGGGGCGTTGATGGGGCGTTGCCTTTTGCCCATGCCATGAACCGCATCGAGCTCTACGCTTACGCACCTGGAGGAGGTCGGAGTCACCAAGGGGTGATGGCGTGCTATGGGGGGTCATTGGTGCAGTGGCTTTCTGTGAGGCAGGCGTTCACCACACTGAGTACGGCGGAAGCTGAGTTGGTCGGCTACTTGGAGGCCATGACGATGGGCCAGTCGGTAGCGGTGGTGTTGGGCATCCTGGAAAATGGGGCTTGGGACGACCTTCTTGTCGATGTGGCCCAGCAGCAGGACTTGGTCTACAGTGACCTAGTTCAACATGGAGAGAGACTCTACGAAGGGGAGGTTCAGGACGTGGATGCTCCTTTGGGAGAGGAACATGAGAAGAAGCAGCTACTGGCGGAAGATCGTGAAGGAGCGGGTGTTCATTGCGACGATGATCGAAAAAGGGCTCAAGCCGGTCAAGACTCAAGTATTGGCGGAGGCGGTGACTTCGTGGTGTACGGAGACAACTCGAGCGCTATTACGATTATTGGGAGTGCTGACGGGCCATGGCGTACCCGTCATCTTCGCCTACGTGCCGAAGTGCTTCGAGAAAAGGTGAAAGGAGGACGATGGGCCGTGCGGCATCTACCGGGCACGCGACTGGTTGCGGACCATCTCACGAAAGCCATGACGGCCAAGGCTCAGTGGCCCAAGTTCTACGAGCTAGCCGGGATGGTCAAGGTGGACGTGGAGAAGGTGGAGGCGTCATCAACGGAATGGCGGTCGACTGAGAACGTGAACAAGCTGAAATTGGCAGGACTGGGCCTGATCATGGGCAAGGTGGCAAGTTGGACCCCGGAGAACTGCCAGGAAAAGGAGGCTAAGACCCTCTGCCTAGCAGCTCTAGGAGTAGGTGTAGCTTATGTGGCCACCCTGATCACTCGGGGCCATTGTCTTAAGAAGATCACAAAAGAAGGAAGAAAATCCCCTAGGGAAAATGAACCAGGGGCAGGGGAAATGTCCAGGGTCCCTGAACCGGACACCCCAACGTGGGAAAGGCCTAGGGTCCCTGAACCAGGCCCCCCAGTGGAGAGCTCAAGGGACCATGAACCTGGGCTCTCGAACAAGATGCCTAGGGAACATGAACCAGGCGCAAGAACGGCCAAGTTGGGTCGAGTTTTTGGGGCCGGGTCAAAGGATTGGGCATCCGGTGAAGGTGTTTTTCCCCCTTCAAGGTTCAACCACTGCCCTGAGGGCTGCCCAGTAGGAGCTGAGGGTTTTGTGAATCGTCAGCCATGGCCCTTGGATGGAGGCGGGGCGGAGCTGTTAAAAAGGGTGGAGAACCTATCGGTTGAGGAGGAGCCGGAGGACTTCTGGGACGTCCAGACCGGGGAAGCAATGGTCGTTTTGACGCGGGTCCATATGTTGCCTCGGCATCGAGATTATCAGCCTCAAGCACTAGACTTGCCACCGGGAGTTTCGCTGGAGAGGTTGGAACAGAGGCGGCAGACAAGCGTGGTGTATGAGGACGTCAACATGGGGAGAAGGCTCATCAATGACCAGTGGACTGAGGATAACTTCAGGTTTCGCGGAGCATGGAGAGGGGCAACGACGTTCTGGATGCCACTGCGGCAGGAGACGGCTGTGGTAAGGACGTCGGAGCAACCAAGGCAGGTTCGGCCCCGTCTACAAGCGCTGCGAGCTCCGGAAGTTTGTATTCTGTCATCTGGGGAACAACCACCGCGGCTACTCGACGGTGCGGGTGGAGGGTTGCCGGGACATGGGTGGTATCCATCAATGGAGGAGGAGCGAGAAGATCACTGGGAGGTGGAATTCCGGGAAGACGGTTTGGTGGTGGCTACGAGGGTGCACGAGGTGGAGAGGATTCGATCCTATCAGCCCGAGCGTAGAGATCTGCCGGCCGGCCTATTTCTGGAGGACTTTGAGGACAGGAGAGAATCGTTCATCAACCCGGTGGATCATCGCGAGGAGGTTCGACGTGGGGTATGGACCCAGATCGTTGAAGACAACTGGAGACGGGACGTTTGGCTACGAGAAGGCTGGGTTGGAAGTTCGCGATTCTGGGTGAGGCCGAGGAGGCGGATTGTGGTGCTTCAGTCAGGTCGACCCCTCACGGACCAGGAGAGGCAGGACGAGATGGATGAAGATGGAGCCGGAGAGTCGGGAACCTCTGGGCCGTCGGCATCATCGGCAACTGCGGCCTCGTCGGGATCAACAATCAGGGCGGCGAGCGCAACGGCTGGTGGAGATCAGAAGAGACCCAGGAACACCAAGAGGACATGGAGGCCCAGTGGAGTGGAGTCCGGAGCAATCATCGGGGGCCTCACGAAGGGAGCAATAGTCCTGATGGTGTTCTTCGGCATGATCAACGGAGCGGGAGCTCAAGGCCAGGATATGCTGGAGGAGGATTCGCTGTTGGTATGGATGATGATCGCCACGGCTCTTATGGCGATTGGATTTTGGGAACTTTTGAGGTGTTGTTCCTCTGGCAGGCGGGCCTCTCAGGTCAAATTGGAGCTAGAGTCAGAAGAAGGGAAAATTCAAGATCAAGACCCTGAGGTAGAAGAGAAGGGCTCCCATCAAGAGACGTCCCTGGAAAGGGCTAGGGGCAGCTCGCAAGAGACTAAACGGGGTTTTCCGGGGAGCTCTAAACAAGAAATGAAGAATCAAGATCCGCAAGAAGAGACCGAAGGGCCCACTGAAAGAGACCAGGTGGGATGCGGCCCCACAATCGGACAGGACTCGGACAGACAGGACAGTCAGCCTGGACCCAGGCGTTTCACCAGTAGCCTGGAGAGGCTCCACGGGAGGGAAGTAGCTTGTAGGACTATCGGAGCCCATGGCCGCTTGCAAGATGTCTTGGTACCGGTGGGGGCTCTCGAGGACCCTGCCCGGAGGAGGTACTTCAAGAACATGGCGGAGCAGTCTTGGAGGAGGCACTACTTCCTGGAACGGAGGGAAGAGGTAGAACGAGGAGGTGGGTTCAAAGGGCCAGGAGAATTCAGACTCCCGGCTCTGGAGCCCATTCCGCCTATGCCGCTGGCTATGTGGCCTCATGGAGATGCCTCGGAACCTGGCAGCGGCTCTGGCCAGGGAAGTCAAGAAGGAGGATCATCGTCAAGTGCGATGCGAAGGGCGAGTGCAGCGGGGTGGGTTCATTTGGGAAACCCCGTCCCGATCCAGGAGGGGGACACCATCCTGGAGATCAGCAAGCACAAGGGCAAGACCTACTTTCAGATCGCCTGCGAACACCCAGACTTCGTTCGCTGGGCGGTGAGAACCGCGAGGTCCCAAGAAGTGGACTCTCGACTAGCCCACTTCGTAGAGTGGGCCACGGGATCACGTTAGATGCTGCAAAATGCAGCAGGGGGAGTGTGGATTGTGAAGTAAAGCCACTCGACCCGTCACACGTTGGCTCAAGAAAAAGTGTGCAGCGCTGAGCTGTGCATTTGGACCCCTTTTTGGTTTTTGTGTTTCGTAGAAACAAACCAAACAAGAAAAGGGTTAACCCGCAACCTTGGTCGACAACAGGCCGCACGACTGGTCCCTACCAACCTGGCGGCGGCCCGAGGTCTCTTTCTCCCCCGAGATGCCGTCGGTCGACGCAGGGGTTCGGCGACGCCCATTCGAGGCGCGACGGAACCCAAAATCTTGAGCCAAAACACCACAGGTCGGTCACTAACGCGACATTCCTGATGATGATATGAACCATGGCTAATCACACTTTATTCATTAATTCATTCATTCAATTCATTCATTTATTCATTCAGTCAGTTTGTCAATCATTCACTGAACAGGAGAGAGACACTGAACGCTGAAGCTGCCACGTTCCTGCAAACCGGTGCATTTCCCAACTTCCATTTGGCAGTGCCAACAACTCTTGTCTAAAAGCGGTACAGTACTATGAATGTGCTTTTGCGGACTTCAACCACACGCAACCACATGTCGTGCTTTCACGCGCACTGTTTCCCTCAGGTTTGCTTTCGCGGCTCTTTCGCGGCGGACGCGGCAAAGCACGCCCTCTGGATCAAAACACACGTCCGCAGGAGCGTAACGGCGCACTTCAACCTCCTGGATCTCAGCAAGGTGAAAAGCAACATCGGGGAATGGGGCCCCTCTTTCTGGGATGCCTTTTTGTTGCTTTCGCGGGGGAATTCGCGCAGCTTTCGTGGAGAGTTTTGTGCGGAGGACCTGTTCTTTTCTTGGATTGAAAACGTTTACGCCTAAATCCCAAAGATAAACACAATTTGGTACAGGCTTTGACCTCCTTGCACATGCACCAGGGTAAAAGACCTTGCTGCAATCAACTCCCAATCATCAGAATGGATGCTTTGGGAGCTGCTCTGAGCACTTTCGTGATAGGCTGTCGCATGCTTTCGTGGCCGGCGTTTCAGCTTTCGCGCAGGCTCTATAGGATACCCCACTTGATTAAAATGGTTGATCTCCTGCTGGTTTCCGGCCAACACCAAGTAACACTTCACAGACGGTCCAGAATTTGAGAAACTCCCATAATATTTATGGGTGTGGGTCAAAAATAGGTACCCAAAATGGAACACTGGTAAATGCAAGGACTAAAACCTGTCCCTGGTGGTTCAATTTTGACCCATGCCCATATGAGAATCTCTGGCTTTGTCTCTGGCTTTGTGTTTGACTCATACCTGTCTCAATATCTGTCTCAAATCTGTGAATTTCCAAGTTTGTCTCATATCTGGCAAATATGAGAAAGTCTCCTCTGGCTTTGTCTCCCGTGCGTTCTCCATCCGGGTCGAGCGGCAGCTCCCTTCGCAACTGCTCTTGCCGCTGTAGCTGCTCGTGCAGCTTCCAGCGCAACTCAGCGCGCAGGCACGAAGACGAGGCGAAACGTGGGTTGTGGATCTGAAAGACGGGAGTGCCTTCACTCAAGTCCTTGATCTTCCGGGACCCTGGAAAAGCAGGCCTTTGGCGGAATTTCCATTTGGAGCCAAGATCAAAATCAAGAACCCTGGTTTTGCGGGTCCTTGGAAGACCAAGGTGTGATGCAACAAACACATGTGTGCTGCACATTGAGTACAATAATCCTGAAGAAAGTGCATGTAAAGTAGATGTCATGCGACAAGTGTAGTTTTTCTGTGGGAATGATCTTCACATTTGCTCTCCCGCGTGACAGAATCGGCCGGCCATGGTTTCAGTTTGCTTTGAGTTCCATTGTCCAATCACTATTTCTTCAGAAAAAAATGCAGTTGAATTCTATTCTTCCAATGTCATAGGCTCCAACAATTCCGCAGCCCCCATGCCCCCCTCTTTGCTTGGAGGACATCTTTCGGGGCTTTACTGGGGGACTCTTTCGAACCAAACTGACCTAAAAACGACACCTGGATGGCCCAAATCCACATGAGTTGGGATGGCGAAACCTGGATGGCCCAAATCCACATGAGTTGGGATGGCGAAACCTGGATGGCCCAAATCCACACGAGTTGGGATGGCGAAAACCCGATCAATACTGCGAAACACCATCGGATACGTGAAACCGCGAACCTGCCAGTTTTGCATGGACACACTGACCTACCAGGAGTTTGACAGGGACACCTAAGCGCGTGTCTCGTTTTTGAGTGTACCCCTTGGTGGGCGTCAAAGGGAAACCAACGGGATTTCTCGGTTACTTTCTGCTCCCCTGCTTTTTGCTTGACTTTCGTGGCTTAAGGCCTAACATCCAAGCAAAATGCCCCCAAGATTTTGTGGGGTCCCCTAAGGTTAGGCCATCGTTCTTTTCAAGAACCAGCCATTTCCCCAGAATTGGTGGTGGTTTTCTAGAATGGTTGGAAGTTACCCCTAGAACCACCCGGATTTTGCGGGTCCCCCAAAAAAGGGCCGCAGCCGCCGAATGCCGACTGGCACGGCCTTCAAAAATCCGAGCGGCGGAGGCTGGCCCCGCGCTGGCTTGCGACCGCGAAGTGCCTGGCTGAAGCGAGGCCTGGCTTAGGTTTTGGGGTGTCCTTTTTGGTCCAAGCTGGGCTCAACCTCTTTTGGGGTGTATGTATTGTATATATACATATACCTGGTATACCTTTTCAATGTGGCCTGTATTGAGCACGGACTCCACCGCGCACATATTCTGGAAACCTGGTTTCGATGTGCAAGAAGTTCCCTCATAGAGTGGCAACCAAGTTGGGCCAACCCCTTGTTTAAGCATGTTCGCATGCTTAAACGCCTATTCCTTTTCACAAAGTCGTTTGTGTCCCTCTATGTACAGGGGATCCGGGTGTGATTGCTTGTGTGACAACAAACGGTCACGCGGCTTTTTGAACTGAACACCTGGCATGATATTCGCGAGGGTTCTGCCAGCCTTGCCGCAAAGATTATGGAACAGGGGAAGAAGACTAGGAGAGGGGGTGAGAGGTTGGAGTCAAAAGTAGTGGAGAAACAGACGGCGCGAGGAAATGAACATCTTACCAAACTGAGGTTTCAGTGCCCACGTGCAACCGACACCTGTGGTCATCAGACATCTCTTAACTCTCATGACCAATGGTAGGGCGAAAGAAAAGCAGTGGTTAATCGTCGTGGTTGTGGAAGTGTCTGTGACTCCGAAGTGGCAGACTCCCATGACCCCAATGGCTGACAGGTTGGGCTCACTAAGAAGATTCTGCTGTCATTCGGAAGCTTCCGTCAAGAAACCGGGGTCCATGGTTCACGGCAATGGCACCAAACATCCAGCCCACCTGCAAGCGGCTGAAGCGGTCCGCCGCCTAGCGGAGCTGTCGGAAGTGGTGGCGCGAACTGTGTAAAAATCCGGCCCCGGCGAATGATCTCCAGGAGAAAAGAAACAACTACGGCATGGTTGCGGAAGCCAAAACGAAGGGAGTCAGATGGCTGTAGCTCAATAATTTTGTACCCAAAATGGCACCTGGGTAAATGGAACAGACCAAAACCTGCGGTTGGCCCTGGCTCTCTAATTTTGAGCCACACTTAAATGCAACGCGGGGCGTTTCGCTTCCACGGTCGCTCACCGACTCGTCCAGCCGGCCTCGGAAATTCCACGAAGGCACCGGGCGCTTGTCCACGCCCCCTCGGCGCCGCCTCTCCTGAGACCCAAACAGCAGCGACGCAGGTTGCCGATGCGGGGAGCACTGGGTCCACTGAAGTGATCCCCCCCCAAACATGCCAGTTGAGAACCATGCAAGCAAGAACTTTGACTTGAAGGCACCCCCCAAAAAAACAAAACGCACACACACACACACAAACATGCGCGCACATGCAAAGAAACGACTTTGAGACCAATTGAATGCCGCTTTCAGGGCCCCTTTCACCTTTCAAGTCGGGGCACGGCACTGCGAGCTCGCTCCACCGCGGCGTACCAGTGCTCGGCATCTAGGCCGTGCACCTCATGGATGGGGCGCCTGGCAGACTCGCTCGCGGGCACGCAGTATGCGTCTGTTGGATGCGTGGCTGACAAGGGAAGCGGATGGAAGGTTGGAACCCCTCAAACATGCGGTGTCCTCCTATGGAACTTCCCTTTGAAGCCAAACAACAGACGGGTTCCCCACACTAAGCACACAGTTGTTCTGCCTTTGCTGCAACTTCTGTGTGTGTGTGTGTGTGTGGGTCAACAACGTTTTCCAGGCAGCTTGGCGAAGAAATCTCGAATATTTTCGTGCTCTGGTTGGAAGGGACACTGTTTTTGGATTTGGCAACTTGTTGGGTATTTGAATCGAACACATTTCTCGGGGGTCAGTCCCCGCAGTGACTCAGGGAACAGTGACACCAGGTAGGATGCAGCGTTCCGGGTTGGACATGCGAGCTTTTTCGCTGACCCCTCGAGATTTGGCCATGAGCTGGGTGTCCGAACAAACTGAATCCTATCAGCCGCGCATGGCCTGAGTAAACATTCACGTCAATTTGTGTGAGACCAGTGTCAAATGGATGGCACTGCCGATCAAACAAGCACATCGGTATGTCATGATCCCATTGTGTCCCCCAACTCAGCTTCGGAGTTTCTGACAGGGTTCAAAATGCGCAGGATGCCTAGTCACAATTCGTTCGTAGTGGGACACCACACCACAAGCGAACCCACCCGTCTGGCATGATGAATTTCTGCATAGGTGCCCCCGATCAAGACCAACCCGGGGGCTTATTGATCAGCTGGTTCTCGTGTTCCCCAAAACTCCAACAAGAGACCTAAGGAAGGATTGATCTTGAACAACCGAAACATCAGTCATCGGTCATGAAACATGACAAAAGGGCTCACTCCCTCCATGACGGCGGGAAAACCAACTACAGCAACATGGGGGTAACATCGGCAACCATTCCAAATGATGGATGAGGGCCACCCCAAAAAAAAGCAAACACACGAGACCCTGATGGATGAGGGCTACCCCCCACCCAAGGAAAGAAGACAGATCAAGACAACTACCCTCAACCATCAGGGGGAACAACCCCCCTCCCAAAAAAAAAGAAGAACAAACTGATGAACCCAGCATGCCATTTGAGCGCGCCCTCCCCCCAAAAAAATGAAAAAGGAACCCCTGAACCCAGCATGCCAGTTGAATCCCCGGCCACAAAAAACAGTAAAACAAAGGGACCCCTTTGATTCCATGCCAGATCTGCGTGGCAGCTCACCTCTCAATTTCTCTCAATTTCTCTCTACCCCCCGCAGCTCACCTCTCACCGATTTCGCTGCCAATCGCTTTCTCTCTCCGCGCCTCATGGAGCGCAGCACCGCCTGCAGGCCCGGGCGCGGCTTGCCCACCTCGCGGCTCAGGATCTCCGCCGAGACGTCGTAGCGCCGGGACATCCTCGCTTCGCTCGCGTCGCTCCCTTTTCGGTCGCTCGGAGCCTCAAGCCGCCGGGGAAGTTGGAGCCAAAGGGAAGCCAAAGGAAAGCCTTTCAACGTTGAGATGTGTTACTTTGTTTCTTCATTTTTTGCAAAAGCACCAAACTTTCTGGAAAGTTGGTTAGCACTTTTTACGTAAATGTCCTAAGGAACCTGCGTCAGTGCAAATCGGCTTTCAGACGCAGGACTTGGAGTCGTGAGGTTTTTACACCCAATGCGGCACCAGGAAACTTAAGCTGCGGTCATTGTGGCGAAAACACACCTTTGTCCAGGCTTCCGACCATTTGTCAAACGGGCCCTTTTTGGTCAGGCTTGCTCAAAAAACACCTTGAGTTCCTACGCTCGTAGAAACTTAGCCCTTTTCGGAACCCAAACAAATCTTCAAAGACAAACTCTGCTCACGTTAAATCACATACCAAAGCTTTCAGCTTTCCATATTTGTCGCATTCAGACTTTGAAGATTCCAACTTTCAACCGTTTAACCATAGCGAACCTTGCAAGCTTTCAAACTCGCGCGCTCTGCCCAACAACTCTCCACAGCAAGCCTACAGAATCTCCCACAGAACCACCTTTCAACTTTTGAGCTGTTAATGCTTCCACCTTGAGAGCTAAACTCAAAGCTCCGCAGCTTGAAGCTTCCAGGCTTGAAGCTGATCAGCTTCGAAGCTTGGAACTTTGACAGCTCTTGGCGCGCTTTGAAAAGTCTTTCAAGCTCAAGACTTAAAGCCCCAACTCTTCCACGCGTGAAGCTAACCCCAATGGTTCATCGCAGATCCTCGCAGTTTCAGCGTTGTCGAGCGTGAACAAGTCAGTGTGTGTGAGGCGTCCGAAGCAAGTTTCATCAAAGCAGCGCGGCAAGCACCACATGTCCAACCAGTTGCAAGAAGCTTGGCTGTCCAAGTTCACGACGTCCATACGGCGAAAATCGTTCGACATGTCCCAAGTAAGATTCGGCCGAAGCTCTCGCTCCCGCCCCCCGCGGACAGCTGGCACCAATCAAGTCTGTATTCGACAAACTCCGTGACAGAATTCTGCTCATCGCTGTCTGAGCAGAGATCCCTGCGCGCTTACCAAAAAGCTTTCAGTGCTAAACCCCGGACTCCCGAAACCCTAAATCCCAACCCTCAGCTCCAAACGCCCACATTAAAACCGTTTAACAAAAACAAGCAAGCTCAACATGTTACAGACAAGACTTAAAGTGAAGTGCTCAAAGCCCTCAACTTCAAGAATCTAAGCCACACAAATTGATGCTGAACCTCTCTGAACCCTAAAATCCACAAGCCTTAAACAAAATCTTGCGCCCGAACAATTACCCAAACACTTCACCTTAAAGACCCTCAACCCCAAAGAACAGCTCGTCGAAGGCAAAATGCTCAATTATGTCAATATGTCCAACAAAATTACTCTTCAATAACCCTTTTTGAGAATGACTGTCGTACATTTCACAACAAACAATTCACAAGCTCGAGACGCGCAGAAGCATTTCAACCCGAATTCAAAGCGTCCAAATTATGGCGGCCCCGCGAAACATCGACATCGGCAAAAACTGGCTCGTTGATTTTCCGTACAACTGTGAACATTGCCAGAACTTTTTGCTATAACTGACGCGCAAACTCCAAGCAACGCCGACGATAGTTCTTGCAGCAGTGCTAAGCAACCTAAGTATCATAGCAGGCGCAAATGTTCGCGGAATTTGAACAACGAATGATTCAGTTTGCTGCTAATTGTTCAAACGTGTTCATCTTGCTTTGCCGAATTGAGCGTGTTGAATTGGGTCATTTCGCAGTCGAAGGTTGGAAAGAGCCTGCCACTCGCATGGTTTGGCAGTCGAACCATCCAGCCTTTTGTCGGGTTCTTTCAAAAGCATGCACGGCGAATAAGTACAAGACAGGCCCGAAAACAACGGGAAGGAACGCTGCACATTGTCCATGGTGTGTCCTAAAATAGAACCCCAAACCTGTGGTTTCCTTAAAAACCATCGGTACCTACAAAAAGACACCCCCTATATCTCTTCTATGTTATCCCGCATGAGCCTCAAAAACCCCTCGGCACCTCCAAACGGTACATCCTCGCCCGGCTGCAAGCCATGCCGGGCAAGGGCCCCTTTTGAGGACCTTGCCTTGTATGGTGAGGAAGTACCAAGGGTCTCCAATTTTGACCACCCTCCAGCCAGTCATGACCATTTGCGGGTATGCTTACCAAGTTGTTTGACCACGAAGGAAACCTCTGGGTACGTATTGAAACCACTGTTGTGCAAACAGCCTCCTTTGGGATTCCTCAAAAGGAGGTCGTGTTGCTTTTGCCTCAACATTTTTTTTGCAATCAACTTGAAAGTGATCCTCGATCTTACCACCACGGCTTCAACGGAACACTAGGTTTGAGAACCTCTGAACTTTGAACTGCGGTCAACTACTTCCTTATGAGCCACGCTCAAATTCACTTCTTGCTTCCCCAGGAAGACACGGAACACTTTTGTAAGGTGCATGCCCTAATAGTACCAGACCAACCACAAACCGTCGGAATTCACGCTAAGACGATGGTCTTCCTTTTGGCTTCCATTTACAACCACCCAAAAACTGTGGTTTCCCCCCAAAAAAAAAACAAAAACCCACGTGTTCCTTCATCCACCACGCGAACTTGTCGGGCTCCCGGCGGCATCACGTTGCGCGGGCCGGCAGGGCCGGCAGGACTGGGCCTCAGCAAGCTTCCCGGCTGCAAACGAAGCAAACCCCCCAAGAGCCTGTGGACGGAATCCATTTCTCCATTTCACACCACCTAATAAGCCATGGTGGAAACCATTGCGTGTTGGTATGTACGGGACACACATCATTCCAGGGGTTTCTTAGGTGCAGGATTTTCTCCATTTCACACCAAGCCATGGTTGAAACCACGTTTGTCAGAAACCAGGGGGCTGGATGGTGCTCAATTTTCGTCCTAGAGTATGCGGGGGTTGATCAAAAGGTTCGTACATGGAATGAGCAGGAAAAGCCACTACAAAGGACTATATGTAGTAAATGGTTTAGGTCACTCATGGTCACTTGGGGGCCAGGAATATTGATCAACCCCCATGTGCGTTTGCTCGCTGATTCTCCGTGAGCAATGATGCCAAGGGGCCCCTAATCTTTGCCAGATGTGCACCAGGGCAAAAGTAGATAAGAGGGATGATCGAATGCCTACTTTCACCCATACATGGGTGTGCTGTTTTGGAGCTGGTACCCGTTTTAGCTTGTATTGAAGGGAAGCTAAAACAAAAACCACACAAAATATTACCCACAGAAAAAATACCCCCAAAAGAACCACACACCCAGGTGGTGTACTGGAAGGGGTCAAAGGGGTCGGTAGAATGAACTGTAACCTCATGTATCGATATACATGAGCCATTCTGATTCATGGGTCTGAAAATTCAAGCAATACCCCTTGGAGATTCTTCACGGGATTTGCGTCCAACCATAGGGTGTGCCATGGAGCCCTTTCGGAGCAGCAAAAACAGCGCTATGGGCCATGGGCGAAAGAAACACCACCATCTTGGGGGTATCCCAATCCACATGCGCACGCCTGGCGTTTTGGCAACTCTAATCTCTGATGGGTGTTGACAAGTCGAGCAAGCGCCGGGAGTTTCTCAAAAGGGGCAGAGCATGGAGAGACTCTGGCCAGGCGGCACAGAAGCAGACTTGCCCAGTCGGGGAGGCGGCTTCGGAACCTGAAGCGCATGTTTGACTAGGTTCAGTTTTGGGGCTTAGAGTAAGGGTTTCCGTTTTTTTGGTTCTTCTTTTCCCGAAAAAAGGGTACAAGGGATTACAAGGGCACTACCACAAGGCCTAGTTGATTCTCCCAAGGTAGACTTGGGTTTGCCTTGTGAGGGCACCCCGTTCTGGGTTGGTTCAACAGGAGGCCAACAGGTTTCCTAAGGGCTCCCCTCGCCGGACATTGCGCAAAGCGAAAAGACGCCAAACTTTTCGCAAAAAGTCAAAAAGTCAAAAGTTTTGACTTTTTGAGTTTTCGACTTTTCGACTTTTCGAATTTCTGGGGACTTTTCGACTTTTCGGGTAGTACCCCCCGCTGTGGTTTGACTTTTTGACTTTTCGACTTTTCGATTTTGTTTTGACTTTTCGCCTTTTCGGCTTTTCTAGTTTCTTTAACAGCGCGGCTGCCCTTGGCTCGAAGAGTGCGGCCTAGTCCACTGATAAGCTCTCATGCCTTTGACTGCGACGTGCCCCTACAACTTTGCAGGCTCTGGTGGGCCCGGTGTCGCTTTTGTGGGGCGTGAAAGGCACGCGTCTCGAGCCCCACAAAGTCATCTAGTATGACTGCTCAAAGAAGAGTCCACAGATAAGCTTCAGCTCCAGAGCATCATCGGCGAGTTGGGCTTCCCCGTGTCGGCATCGCGAAGCGTGAAAGACTGGCCTGCAATATCTCTGCTTCCATCTTGGGGCGGGTGATATGGCTCTCCACCTCCCTAAACTTTCCAGTCTTTGGCGGGCGTCAGTTTTGTGGGGCGTGAGAGGCTCGTGCTTTGAGCCCCACAAACTGGTGCTTGACCCGGCGCGAAGCGCAGTGTAGCCCGCTTGAACTTTTTCACGTGAATAGCGTTAGAGAGCGAAAGGCTGATGGGGCACGAAAGGCTGGCCTGCTGCATCTCTGTCTTTATTTGGGGGTGGGGGATTACACAAACTGATGCTTTCCAGAAAGGTCGCGGGATCCGGACTTGATGCTAGTTGGCAGACGTGTTTGCCTCAAGCGCCGCACTTGTAGGCGGTTTTGCATTTTCTCCATGTCCCTTGGAGTCTGTAGCGATGTGGCCAGAGATCTCGCATTGAAGATGTCAGCGCAGCATGTTGTCCAGACCCTTTGGAGCGAGCTCAGTTGATCAGTGGTCATGTAGACACGATCTACGCAGCAGCCGCGCAGGGAGTCTGTTGCGTCACGTTGGCGCACGCCAATCTCGAGATGATCTCTTCGTTTTCGCCATGATTGCAGCTGTGCTACAGGAGTTTGCAGTGTCTGGAGATATCGCCGCTGTGCCCTTGCTGCAGCTTCCGACAGTGAATGAACAGCCTTCCCCACAAAGTTTTGAGCAGCAAGTGGTGCTTAAGTGGGGTTCTATTTGGCGCAGTAAAGCGCACGCTTTGTTCCAGGGAGCACAGGAATCTGTTCAAGTCGTTTGGGCCCAGTGCCTGGTTTTTGTAAATGGTGTTTCTTTTCGAAGACTTTTTGATGAGCGGGCGGTAGTGATTCATAATGTTGCTCTGCTGCTCGATGGTCTGCTCAGCCGACCTTCTGTGTCCGGTTTGCGACTTAAGGTGTGACTTGCGCAGGCGTAACAGAAAGGCTGCTAGAGTGACTGTTGTGAAACGTTCACTAGAAGGACGCCGTTTCCGCGAAAAAATAAGGCGTCCGTGTGGCGTGCATGCATTGTTTGAAATCTCCACAAGGCAAACTATATGATATTCATGTTTGGTATTTCTTTTTGTGGGGCTCGGAAAGGCCTATTCCATGCCCTACAAGGCCGGGTCTGGCAGGAAGGGTGAAGATGTGAGACCTTGCCCGTTGCAAGCTCCACAGGCCCACGAAACTTTTCGCAAAAACTCAAAAAACTTTTCGACTTTTCGAATTTCTGGGGACTTTTTCGATTTTTCGAGTGTTTTTTTCGACTTTTCGACTTTTCACTTTTCGACTTTTAGAATCAAAAACACACAGTTTTCATTTTGTGTCCGTGACCAGCCAGAGGACACCACTCGGAAGCCGAGGGTCCCCGGTTTTGAGTCTCCACCGAGGGCCCCAAAAAAGGGGAAATCCACCACCTGATTCTAAGTCAGTCTCTCTTGTACTTAAAACATGGAACGCTGAGATGGACAGTTCCCCGTCGAAAGTGGCTTCCATGCTCCCCAAAATCACAAGGGCCGTTCAAAGGCAACTCGCCTTGCATTGTGACCTGGGGCTTTCTGAAACTAGGAGTCCCCTGTTGAGATGGTTTTCAGGGGACGCCAGAAAACAGCCAACCCCCTGGAAACATCTGCACTGAGACGCACCTGGCATGTGCCCAAGCAAAGCCAAAATGAATCCTGGACTCGGCTTCTGGGGTTCCTTTTGTGTGCCTTTCGCTTTTTTGCGGTCCCTTTGGGGGGCTGACAACAGGGCATAAGAAACACGGCGTCCAAGTCGACATCTACTACCTTGTGACTTGCCTTTATTTCATGTGTTGTTTATTGTTTTGCGGTTTGTTTTGTTGTTAGGAAAAAAACAAAACAAACAACGAACACATTTCTCTATGTCTCTGTTAATATGTGGAATGTATTGATATACATATGTTGTAATTGTGAACGTGTACATTTGTATGCCACTGCAGACGCATCTCATTGCACATGTCACACGTGCAATCACATGGCCTGGACTGTAATTTTGTTGGAACAGAGTGGGAGTTGGTTGGTGGGCTTCAGCCTGTTCCAAGAGTTTCAGGACCTTAGCATGTCCAGTCCATCTTGATTCCCCAGTCTTCAACTTTCTTTTCAAATTCAAGCACTAATCACTTCTGGCTTTCTGGAAAGAAGGATCCCGGGCAAGTTGCCACCGCAAGACACATGCTATCAGCATGGATCCGCTAGTCACGCCCTGGATCAGCAAGCCAAAGTGATGGTGCTGGGATCCAATCCTGGAATCTGAACAACTTGCGCATCCGGATGCTGGCGAACAGGTCCAGGCATCCTTCAAACGTAAGGGTGTTTTGCCAGATAAGGGCATGTTAAAACCAACCAAACTTTGCGGATGAACCAAACTTTGTGGATGTACCACAAAGGGGCTAGGGCTACTCAAAAACATGACCGAGCATCCTGGCTTGCATTTCAGGAACTGGCAAATCGGAAGGTCTGGATGGCACAAACTGCCAACATCCATGTGGGTTTGTCTCCAAGTGTCCCAAAATCCGACTTCAGGATCCTGCCTCATGATCTGCCAGGCGCATGACAGGCGCCATGCCAGAAAAAGTCGCCAAAGAATCGGAGGTCTGAAAATGTGCTTTGTTTTCTCATTTTTGTATCGAGTCTCAAGATCTTTGGGTATTTGTTGATGGTTTCTTGATGCGAAGGTCTGTCTAGCGCACGAATTCTTGGAACCACACGCAGAAGTGAAAGCAGGCATTTGCCTCACTCTTCAAGACTGCGCACAAGCAGTCTGAATCTCTTTTGGGGGCCCTGCTTGTTCAATCCCCAACCTGTTGTTGGGCACAGAAACCAAAAAACCGCTAACAAAATGGGGGGGGGGGGGGCTTAAGAGCCCCTGGCTCGATGTCAAAATGGCTGTGGGTCAAAAATGGGTACCCAAAAAAGAAGCCTGGTAAATGGAACCAAGGACTCAAATCTGCACTCCCCTGATGGTTTATCCTTTCCACACACTATCATTTCGGGAATTGTTGAATGGTGGGCGAGATGAAGGAAGCGGAAATCATTTGTAACCGCTGGAAAGAACTGGCCAGCGGATGGACAAGACTCCTTCCTTCATCATATCTTCGTCCTTTCGGTCAACCCTTGATTTGTGGCTCGCCAAGGATAACAGGTTCTTGAATCCCAAGAGCTCCTACAAAAGGATTCTGATGGCACCTTCATGTCGGTTCATCTCCGAGATTGGACGAAAGATTTTGACCCACACCCAAATGGATTCGGACTTCGCCCATCTCTTTTCTCCGTGCAGTGAAGCATCTCGGGCCAGCTGAGCTGTGCCCAGGGCTCGCGGGAAAGCAAAAGCTCCATGGGATCGAGTCGCCTCCCGGAGAGAAGTGCTTCGATTTCAGGGATCTACAGGAAATGGCAGGTATTTCTGCGGCTCCCAGCATCCCAGGCAAAAGATCTCCCAAAAAGAATTCCGCGCGAAGCAAACTCAAACTGTTTCGAGGGGCACGGGGGACGAGAAAATGAACCTGCGCACGTGACGACCCACCTGGGATCCTGGATGCTTGCTGATGTCAGGGACGTTGCTGCACTCAGCAAGGATTTACTAAAGGCGGTTTCGAGAGTCTAAGGATGAGGTCTGCGCGAAACCACGGTGTTGTTGATAAAGGGGGGTTCAGAAAAATCAGAACTCACAAATGAATTCAAAAGATCCATCCCCTTTTGGTTTTCTCTGGCATTTTTGTTGGCAGTCTGGCACCCAGACGTCGGGTTTGCGGCCGCCTTGACCCATCCAAGTGCCCTTCACCCAGCGTAAGCGGACTTGCCAACAGCTGTCCACTCAGCCCGGCAAAGAAGACCTCCGAGTCAAGCCCTTCAACTTGATCTTGAAAAAACCTCAAAGACAAAGCGGGCAATCTATTGTCTTATCCTCCACCACATGGAACTCTCCAGAGGGTCCACTTTAAGGGAGTAGTGGATGGGAGGGTATGCCTTAATATGCCTTATGTCAATGAGTCAAGAACACGTGCAATGATCTACACGCCTTGTTTGAGGCAACCTGCAAAGCGCCAAGATACGGGTGGCCCATCACCGGTCTTTTACTGGTCGGCCAATCGCAAATGTCACATCGCTGTCACAGAAGACAAGATGACACGGGAAGGGTTGAACATGGCGAAAAACACACAGCGCTCAGCAAGCTGATGGTGCATTGGAGCCGTACTCCTTCCTTTGGCGCAGGTTCAACCCTCCTACGTTCGGCTCGGCGTGCATCCAAAGTGGCCGATATGTTTATGAGAGACGTGACTGAGTGCCAAGTCAGCGCGCTGGCGCAAGAAAACTCTGAGTGTCCCCATCCTGAGATGAAGGACGACAGTGTGGCCGGTTTAAACACCAAATGGTACATGTGGGTCTCTTTTGGGTGGTACCCCTTTTTGATTGGAATCCAGAAAGGAGCACCATCATTTTGCGGGTCCCCTAAGGGACCACACCCATTTGAAGTCAAAACCAGGGGAGTTCCGTGCCTGCTGTCTTGCTAGCCTTGCCATGTTCGAGCTGCTGGCTTTTGGCAGACATTCGCTCGCCGGGGAAAGCTCCCCAAGGGGGCTCCAAAGGCTGCGAGCGATGCGTTAGTTTTCTTTGCGGACCCCCCAAGGTTTGGCTTGGGGAGCCAAAGGAAAACCAAGGCTTCTGTGAAGCAAATCCGGAGCCAAACCCGTAGAGAAAGGAATCAAAATCCATTTGGCGCACTGCAGAGTTGCCCAATGAGATGCAGAACACGTCAGTGAGCTGGATCCAACCTCCTCAAGGAGACCTTGGATGCACTTCGCTCTCTCATGTTTTGTGAATATCCAGCATGTTCAAATCATACATGGGTATGTATCAACCTATGGCGAAGTCCCAACAATGAGGGTTCTCCCTTTTCCAATTTGAACCAGCCTTGAAAGGGTATCCGCAACAAAAACTTCCCCAGGTTGCTATGAATCTTTCTGGGTCATGACATGTAGGTCTGGTGAGCCTCATCCCTATACTTGTGTTGCAGTGCTACATGTGTGACACCAAAATCCATCCCGGCAAGCAAATATGGCTCCAAAACCCGAGCCAAAACCACCCAAATCTCCCAGTCAGGAAGCTTGATCAGCCAATTCCGATTTACTTGAACCTGGAAATTCTTCACCTTCACACGGACCTATCCAGGCGAATCACTACAACTCCCCTCTTGAAATTCGCAAGCGACCCTTCATCATGGGTTTTTGCACCCTCTGCGCCCGAACCCGTGAGCTTGTACAAACGTTCAAACCACTCTCTTCACTGCATCCGGGCAGCATCTCCCCCGGATCGATGTCAGCCAAAACATCATCGTCTCCTCGCAAAAAAGCGAAAACCCAACTACCCTCGTGAATGTAATAAATTATTGGCCTGTGTCTCTGTGTGTGATGTGATGTGATATGTATGCGTGTGGCTTGGGTTTATGTGTCTGCGTGTATTCATATCTCCATTTGTGTTTATGTGTGGTTGTGGTTGTGTGTGTGTTTGTGCTTGTGTTTGTGTTTTTGCGTGTGATTGCATGTCTGTTGGTGTGTGCCTGTTTGTGTACTTGTGTGTGTGTTTATGCTTGTGTATGCTTCTGTGCTTGTGGGTTTTTCTTGCGCGTGTTTGTGCGCGTGGTTGTTTGTGTGCGTTTGTGTGTTTGTGTGTGTGTGTGGGGGTGTTTCTGCTTATGCGTGTGTCATCTGCTTGCGTACGTGTATGCGTGTTTGTGTGTGTTTATGTGTCTGCAAGATTGTGTGTTTGTGTGGCCGCGCGTGTTTGGCGTGTTCGCGCGTGTGCGTGTTCGAGTGTGCACGTGTTCGCGCGTGCGGGTCTGTGTGTGCGGGTCTGTGTGTGCGCGTGTGTGTGTGTGTGGGTGCGCAAGCGTGCGTGCGTGCGTGCGTGCGTGCGTGCATGCGTGCGTGGGTGGGTGGGTGGGTGGGTGGGTGGGTGTGGGTGGGTGGGTGCGTGCGTGCGTGCGGGCGTGCGGCGGGCGGCGGCGCGGCGCGCGCGCGCGCGCGCGCGCGTGCTGCGTGCATGCATGCGTGCGTGCGTGCGTGCGTGCGTGCGTGCGTGCGTGCGTGCGTGGGCGGGCGGGCGGGCGGGTGGGCGGGTGGGTGGGTGGGTGGGTAGGTGGGTGTGTGTGTGTGTGTGTTTGTCTGCGTGTGGGTTTTTGCATGCTTGTTTGCGCGCATGTTGGTGTGCGTGTTCATGTGTGTGCGTGGGCGGGCGGGCGGGCGGGCGTTTGTGCGTGCGTGCGTGCGTGGGTGCGTGGGTGGGTGTGTGTGTGTGTCTGTGTGTGTGTGTGTCTGTGTGTGTGCGTGTGTGTGTGTGTGTCTGAATGCGTGCGTGCGAGTGAATGCGTGCGTGCCAGCCTTCCTGCCTGTGCGTGTGTGTGTGTGTCTCTGTACTTGTGTCTGTGCTTTTGTGTGTGTGTGGGTCTCCGTATTTGTGTGTTTTGTGTGTGTGTGTGCGTATGTACGTATGTTTGGTGTGTTGCTTGATTGTTTCGCTCGTTTGATTGTATTTCAGTTTGTTGGATTGTTTGCCTGCGTGTTCTGCAATTAGTTTGTTGGATTGTTGGTCTGCGTGTTTGTTGGCTTGCCTATTTGCTTGTTTGTTTGTTTTTGTGTGTGAGTGTGTGCTCGTTTGTTTGTTGTTGTGGGGTTGCGAGTTTGTGTGTTTGGTTGGCTGCTTGTTTGTTTGATTGTTTGCTTGCTTGCTTGTTTGATTGTGTGAGTGTTTGTTTGATTGTTTGTTTGTTTGTGGAGTTGTGTGTTTGCTTGGTTGCTTGTTTATTTGTTTCTTTGTTTGGTAGTCTGGTTGGTTTGGCTTGGCTTTCTTTGCCAGCTTGTTTGTTTGCTTGTCTGCTTATTTGTCCGCTTGTGTTTGCCCTGCTTGCTTGCTTGCTTGTTTGTTTGTTTGCTTGTTTGTTTATTTGTTTGTGTGCTTGTTTCTGTTTGTTTGCATTTGTTTCTTTGTTTGTTGTGCTTGTTTGTCTGTTTTGTTTGCTTGTTAGTTTGATTGCTTGCTTCCTTGTTTCTCTCCTTGCTTGTTTCTTTTGTGTGTTTGTGCATGTGCGTGTTTGTGCGCTCGCTCGCTCGCTCGCTCGCTGGCTCGCTGGCTCGCTCGCTTGCTTGCTTGCGTGCGTGCCTGCTTGCGTGCTTGTTTCCTTGCTGCTTCCTTGCTTCCTTGTTGATTGCTTCCTTGCTGCCTTGCTTCCTTGCTTCCTTGAATCCTTGCTTCCTTGAATCCTTGCTTCCTTGCTTGCGTGCGTGCTTGCTTCCTTGCTTCCTTGCTTCCTTGCTTGCTTGCATCCGTGCTTGCGTGCTTGCGTGCTTGCGTGCTTGCGTGCTTGCGTGCTTGCGTGCTTGCGTGCTTGCGTGCTTGCTTGCTTGCTTGCTTGCGCGTGTGCGTGTGTGGGTGTTTGTCTTTTCTTTGGCTTGCGTCCTTGCGTCCTTGCTTCCTTGCTTCCTTGCTTGCTTGCTTGCTTGCTGCTTTCGTCCTTGCGGTTCCCACTGAGCAACTGTCAGCTTCGCCAAATGGATCTCACGCATCTCGATCCATTTCTGTTGGCCGGTGTCAAGCCAAAACCCTTTCCCCAGGTTCAAAATGGTGGACCTCCTTTTGGTTGACAAATCAAAGGGAATCCAACCAGTTTGGAGGACCCCTATTTTCAGAAACACCTGTATCAATACTGCTTTCCTATCGTCTTCTCTTCCTATCGTCTTCTCAGCCGCTTACATGTTTTTTATGTGTGCAGAATCAAAGCGGGTGCTCAAGTAAATGAGTATGATATTGTAATCGCCCAGGAAACGACCACCACATATTTCCCGATCTTCCATCCGCGGGGCACGTTTAAGAAAAACACAAAATATACCGCCACTTTCATCTGGTACACATCTCTACTCTTGGTATGGTAGCAAAAAACTTTGTTTTTTGCAGACCCCCAGTAAAAATGAACAGAACCAAAAAACTAAAAAACCAAACACCATGCCAAGGACAGCGAAGTACAAGAACTTAGCAACGAAACGCGTCTGCCACTTCGCAGCGCTCCTCCCTCCAGCTCACCTGAGCAATCCGCTTGACAGGCGATGGTTTGATGCTTCCGCTGGAAGCCTATTTACGGCCCCTACAACCTGGGTCAGACTTGGGCCAGCTGTAGAAAAGGAACTTGCTGGCGGAAAGGCACAATCAAGGGAGACAGAACCAAACAAAGTCATAGAGGTAAGCTAAGTGGGTGCCCTTTTTATAGGACCCCCTTCCCCATTTTCTCGCTTCGGATGTCCTTTTGGTTTCCCTTTGGAGTTACAAGGGGATACCAACTCCAAACAGAGACATGTTGAGGAGCCAAAGAATCAGTGCACCCGGACGCACTGCTTTGCACCCCGCCTTCCACCCGCCGGATACGTGGCACGCGGATGCGCTTCGTGGGAGCAGGGAAAGGCACCTCGAACAGGGAGGCCCGGTGCGTCCCTTCATGGACCCCCAAGGGGGGCGAACTGGGCAGGGGGGGCTACCCCTTAAGCCCTTTATTAAGGGCTTATCCTTGGGATATCCTGGGCTTATCCAGGGATAGCCGCCCCCCCATAGCCCCCCGAAGATTCCGTGATCCCTTCTTACACCTCCAAAAGGGGTCCCCATAATGTTGGCCCCGGACTCAGAAGATCCAGAGAATAAATAAATGGGGGGAGGGGTGTCCCTGGGTTTAGGGAGAATTCATCATTTTTGGACCCGATTGGGACAGGTTGATTACTCCGGGTCAACATTATTTCTGAAAACATCACCCCAGGAAACTGGCCCAGTGCTTCCAGTTGCCAGACACTACAGTAGGCAACCAGGGGAAACCATGATGCAAAAAACCTAGAGGTCGCCATACCGCCGGAGGGTTACCTACAATAGTGGCTGGCAACTGGAAGAATTGGGAGCAACAACAGCAATCAAATCATATAATTGCTTTGCATCCAAAGGAAGTACTGTGAGGCTAAAAGTGGAATATCTGCTGGCTGCGCATCTCAGAATAGGTAAGAACCTGTAGCCGCCATGCTTGCAACTCTCGGGATTAAGCAAACCCACGCTTTTGACAGTTAATATTCTGGGGTCATTTGCCAGGTAGGCCCCAAACTGCAACTTGCAATCGCTAGCGTTTGCCCGCAAAATCACTATTTGCGAACGCATCAAGCATGATGTCCGACATGCCCCGGATCAGTTTATGGACCTGCGGCCTCCTGAGAACTAATGCGAAAAGCAACACCAAGTCACGCTGTAATAACCATTGTGAAGCTTAGTGTCTGCAAACCTCCAAGTGGCTGACATTGGCTATCACTTTGAAATTTTGTTTCACAGAAAACCGAAGGGGCCACTTTCGTGAACTGAAAAAGGAAGCCAGTCAGGCACCCCTCCCACGCAAGACGCAGCGGCAAGGATTCTGCTTGGACGGCCCTGGAAAACGACACTTTCTTTGACGAGGACCAAACCCATGCCTTTATTAAGGGGATTTCGTTGGCATCACGCGGAAAAAAAAAGAAGCTCCGCAATGGCTCTTGCAGGTCCCTGCGCTTCGGCATTCCAAGGAAACACTGGGCATAAGACAGGTCCTGACATCTTCCGTTTGATCGGCTCAAGTCTTTTACTCCAAGCCCCACCTGTCTGACACAAAGTGCGAAATGCGAATCGCCAAATCTAAAACTCTTACTCTATAGACTCGGCTGTTCTTCCCCCATGTTGCCATCAAAAACGGCCGACAATCCTATCTCCTGGAAAACTGCAACGCAAGCCATGCATGTGACTGAGTCACGGACACGCTTGCCTTGCGAATACCTCGGTGTGCGACATTAAAACAATCATAATATTTCACCAGCCTGAAATACGGTGGTTGGGGGGCTATTCCCCACATAAAGCACCATTTGGGGTGAGGTCGTGTAAGGTCGTTATAATTCACCCAGACTTTGGGAAATTCTATTCATCGTCCTCGGGAATGTCACATTCGCTAGGGGAACAATGTGCTTCAATGCACCTTGACCTCGAATTGAGACACATTGAGGCAAACAGTTGCTTTACACCAAAATATCATCACATGCCCTTACTCCGCTTTACTTTCATTTGCAGTACATTGTAGCACATTGCGTTACAATCAAACGAAGAATGCAAAGACTATGACCAAGCACCGAGCACAGCAGGCTTGTACTCATCGGGCACAGACTCATGCATCACAGGGCCTGAGTGCAAAGCTTGCAGAGTTGACGAATTGAGAGCCTGCGAGTGTGGTGGTGGATTTTCAGATTGCTTCCACTCAAGTACAAAAGCAACCCTGGATTTGTAGGTATATAGCTCTAAAAGTATAGCCGTTATCCCCTGAAACCGCGGGGGTAGTTTGGGTGTAAAATCAAGCGAACTACTCCCGGAATGATACTTTGTGAGAAACTCGATGTCATTCAATGTCATCCATCAGAGTTCTCTGCAGGAGCAAGAGCAACACTTGTGAAATACTCTCACCGCCAAGTGCCCCATGGAACAGCAGAAACTGCTGGCCCTTCATTTCGGCTCGACATGCCTCACAGAACGCGCCAGGTGCATCGACATGGGTCTCCAACCCCATGTTTGGGCGGTGTCTTCTCTCTAAGCTCCGGGCTGCTTCTGTAGCGATTCACGTGTGCCAGCAGGCCCTATGCGAGAATCGCGTCGCCCTAAAAAACCGCGTGGCTTCAAGCCCTGCGGGGGCGCCATGGCAGCTTTCAGGACTCTTACCACAAGAGCGTACCCCTTCGGACCCTTCGTACTTGTGGCGTCCCATGTCCCAAGTTCCCGGGATCGCCGTCAACTTTTCTCGGAGCACTGCACCGCTGGACCGTTCATAGTGTTGGGAGAGGAAACGAAACAAAAATCAGGGAGGCCGACCAATAGGAGCGAATGGTACCGTCAAAACAGTGGGTGGTTGCCAAGTCGTCTTGAAAGGACCGTCCTGGTTGGGTGTGAATTGATTGCAGGATGCGTGTCCAAGCAGGCCACGTTTTGTTTTGTCCGAGAGGTGGCCTAGACCAATGACATCGGCCAGATTTGCTCCCGTGTGACTCGGAGCACTAGCTTGCACACATGAGGCCTGATTAGAATGGCTTGTTCAGCCGCACGGGATTTGCTAATGCCGCGATTTCCTGATGGAAATTTGGTGAGTCGACACGGGAGCGTCTGAACTTTCGAGAGACGCGGCATGTTTGGAAAGCTGCTCTCACTCCCCGGGCTTTTGACTTGATATTTCTGCGAAGCAAAACCCGAGAGAGTCAAAACCAGTGGTCTTTACTGAGATGTTTATGTTTCTTGCCTTGATTTGCCACTTGTCATTTTAGTGGCAAATGAAGAGCTTAGACATTTTCCGGCCCATTTCAGGAAGCGAGTGGATTTTAGGGCCACTTTCTGTGATAGGAGCTGCGATTTTGAAGCTTAAGTGGCTGGGGCTTTTTCCTGCGGCTTTTGCTCTGTGGACTCTAAGGGTAAATATTGACCTTTGCTCATTGGAACTTCCTGCAAGATCCCTGAATTGGGTGAGCGAACCCATTGAACGGTAACTTGGTAAGTGTGACCCACACGCTCCCCAGTGCTACTCCGGTAAATGATGGTCAATATTGACCATTCCCATGTGGTTTAGAGATCCCCTGACAAACAGTTTTGCCAAACAACATGAGGTTTCTCCGCTTGGTCTTGTCCGTGGGGTATACTTTGCATGTGTGGTCTTTCCGCCGCTTGGTTTGTTGAAAGGTGTGGCCTTTGTCGGGACCGGCCGTAGATAGGCAGAGAGTAAAGGGGAAAGGGTGGGGGAAACAGGAAAGAGTGGTTTAGAGTGTGTGTGTGTGTGCTTTACATGGTTTGGGTTTGATCTCGAGTGGCACAGTAGGGTTGGTTTAGTGTGAGTTTGGGGTTGGTTTGGGGTTGGTTTGGGGGTGGGTTTATAGTTGGCTTAGGGCTGGCTTTGCAGTTTAGGGTGGGTTGAAGGTGGGTTTAGGATGGGTTTTGGCGGGTTTAAGGGGATGAGGGTCAGCAGCGGGTTTAGGGTGGAATCATAATTATAGTTTAGGGTGGGTTTCGGGTTGGTTTTGGTGGGTTTATGCTTGGCTTAGGGTAGTTTAGGTTTGGTGTACGGTTTGTTTAGGGTGGGTTTAGGATTGGCCTAGGGTTGCTTAGGGCTGGTTTAGGGTTTGGTTAGGGCGCGCTTAGGGTTGGCTTAGGGTTGGCAGAAGGCGGGTTTAGGATGGTGAAGGCTGGGGTAGTCTTATCGCACGACTAAGCGAGCCCTCGGATCTCCATTTCGCAGCACGAGTGTCTTATATATCCTCAAAACCCCGTAATTCTAGCGCTAGAGATGTTCCCCCCCCAAATCCCCATTTTTTGTTCCGCACAAACGTCAACAGCCCCCGCCGCCCCGCCCCCCTGCCTGATGCATGTCACTCCATGACACCTCGCAGACTTTGTCTGTCAAGACGCCCCAGTTTCTGAAGCCTGCACATGGCCGCACAAGGACGAAATCCACGCCGATCCATCGCAGTGCCCACAGGGTTTCATCCATCCCAACTCCTGCCTGTCGTGGATGTTGTCTCCATTTCTATTGTAGCTGGTGCCCCAGAATACGGATCAAAGAGCACCTAAATGTTGCTTTCCAGCCAAGCAGTACGTGGTGAACAGATAGTACTACTCGCTGGGCATTGGGGAGCCAAAGGAAACTGCATTTCCCTGTCCTCCCCAAATCAACGTCACTGATGGCATGTGCTTTTTGAGGGTGGCCTCTTCTTTGTTGGTTTAAGCCAAAAGCAAAAAACCGAATCCGACACCCCACGTGCGTTGCTGGTCGGCCTTCAAAGACCTCCCGGGCGCGCATAGCTTGAGCTTCGTCGATGAAGTTCACAAAAGCGTAGCCGAACATCGCCTCAGGGAGTGATCGTGATCGCGTTTTTGTTCGGGGGTGCTGGGGAAAGACACCACTCAATATGGCTGTGGATCAAACATGCTTACCCAAAATGGAACCCTGGTAAATGGAACCACAAACTAAAACCTGCGGGCCCCATGGCCATGGGTCAACACCCCATACCCCCAGTGAACATCACTAAAAAAGACTAAAATGGGTGGTGCACCCAGCCCATGGTACCATTGGTGTTGACCCGCGGCCATATGATCAAAACCAACCAGCGGCTTCGAATGCAGCAAACAAAATTGCCCAAGCCCCCGAGAAAGATGTACTTCCGTTCTTTGGTTCGAAGCCTTCGCGGGGGCCTGAGGGCTTTCTGGGAGCCAAGCAAAATATGCACAACCTGAGCGAGGGGAAACCGGTTCTGAAAAACTACCCCGAATTCTGTGTTCCCCCGGCTTCTCATTGAACCAAAGGCGCTACATATATGTCACATCCAAATGAAATCGGGTGGAACTTGATAGGCCGTCCGGGCGGGGAAAAAGGCAAGGCACGAAACGTGTTTGTTGGGGGTTCCAAGGTTTCTTTGAGGCCCCTAACATGCAAAGGCAAACGACCCCAAAATGGCTGGAACCCCTAATTTCTGACGCATCCTCATACCCTTCTATTCACGAAAAAAATCGCTTCTCGGAAAGAGCTGAGATCGTCGAGTCGCCTGAGTGCGGAAGTTGATGGGAATGTAGACGAAGTCAAAGCCTTCAGAGTTCAAGACACACGTTGAATGCCCACTTGGCTTTATGTTCATGGTTATCCTGCGCAGGTTTACTCGGAAACCAAAGGGACAACGACTTGGGGCTTCCCATTCTCTGACCCAGGTGGCCTTTTGGAAAAATAGATGGGTTTCCATGGTAAATGGAACAAAACCCATCTAAACCAGTGCCATCTATTTTTAACCAGGCTCACCTAAAGAGGACACCGAATTCTGTCTGACCCCACGGTTCACTCACTCTTCGTCTAGCGACAGGCGCGAAAGCCGTTGCGGTTCATCAGCTCCACCAGCATGTCCCGGCTGTACCTCACAGGCGACAAGCAAAGCCGCGAAGTTGGATTGGTGGGCGTCGGCGTGGGTCAAAATTAACCAGGAATTGGACCGCAGGAATTTTGGTCCTTGTTTCCATTTACCTGGGTGCAATTTTGGGTATCTATTTGTGTTGACCCACACCCAGATTTCATGGCACTGAAAGAATGATCCGGGAAACTATTCGAAAAAAGGCAGCATTAACAAAGCTGGAGACGGAAAAGGGTTGAGCTCACCTGGACCGCACTGAGGAAACCGGTTTCCTCACTGCGATCCGTGCCTGGAAGTCTTGAGGTAAAAAGGCAGCTGGTGCAAACCCAAGTTCTGGGTCTCTTTTGAAGGTTCAAAACAGGACTCCCTATACTTCCCCTTAGAACATCACCCCAAGGGACACTCACCTTTCACCAAAAAGGGAAATATAGGTACACCTGGTAAAGGCTTAAACCCAAGGGACACCATGCATAGGACCCGTTTGGTCCCAATTCTCTCGGCCGGGACTTGTCCTGCGGCCCCAGCCCGGCCGGCAGGTTTCGCAACATCACCGTGGTGAGGCGCTCCTTCTGCCTGGCGAGGGTTTTTTTACAGAGCAGTTGAGCCGTTTGGCGTCCCTTGCCCCAGCCTCAACAAAATACACGCAAATGGCCCGAGAAGTTCCAGGCTCCTTATAGGCCAGTCCTAAAGCCAGTGTTGAATCAGCTTACCTTTAGTTGGAGGTCTCGATTCGTTTGAAGGTTTGGGGTGATTTGCCTTTTACCCTCAACAAGAACCAGGGGTTCAAATCTCCAATCAGCCAATCCAAATCACCTATTTGGGGTTGATTGAAGAAGCAAATTGCCCTCCGCGTGCTGACCTGCTTGCTTGTTCGATTCCGCCGTTCACAATCGGCGAGGAACCATTTGCAGACATGAAGACAAACACTGATTGCAACATGCTCAGCAGCGTTCATTGCGTAATGCGAACAAATTATGAGCCTTCAAGTCGTGTCTCCGGCTTGACAACAGCGGACAGTTTGCAAGGGAACTTGCCGCAAACAACTCGCACAACAGCCCGCGGCAAACCTCGGAACCCAAATGTCATGTCACACAGCTGCCGCTGGTCTACTTATGCTGGTCACGGTCATGGTTCTCTCAATGGGAAGCCTTACCTTAGTTGTCTAATCCCCCTAGGAGCGGTTGATGACCATCGAAGTGACCTCAACAATACATTAGATGGTGTATGGCAATCCTCAATATTCAATAATGCATCTAGGCAGCTTGACGAACAAGGCAACTCAACTAATATCTAGCGCGAGACAAGTGATTGAAGATCGCGCTCGCGCGCTGCAAAAGATGAAGATGGAGGCACTTGGAAGCTTGACCATGCCGCAGATGCAGGGGGGGGGGCTCCTGAAGAGACATGCTGCGAGTAGGATAGCCTAGCTTCAGTTTTCTGGGGTGCGCTATTGCACGACGCTCAGATGACTTTGAACAGACATTGGAGAGGATGGCAAATGTTGGCTTGTCAAAATAGGGGATCTCCCCAAAAAGGTGGGTTTTCTGCTGATTTCCGTTTTCAACCAAGGTGAAAGGGTATGGAGCCTAGAACACACACATACACACACACACACCCATCTGCCCCAGTTCCCTTCATAGCTTTTTAGAGCGGCTTGAGCCAGATCACACAAGTATCTGACAAATATGTGGGTGTGTCTGTTTTTGAGAAAAACTGCCTTTTGGGTGTGTTTAAATGGAATCCAGGGTTGAGAAACATCATTATTTGACCCACCTATTTAGTTTTTTGGGGGGGTGCGACAAAATATGCAGCTTGCTTTCTACGAGAGCCCCTTGTTTTTGAAGGAAGTTCGGGCGTCCCCCCGCAGAGCGGACAAGGTGACCCTTAAAAGAAAAAGAAAAATGAAAAATGTATACCTTGATCTTCCAGGCCTTTGGCCGAATTTCCATTTGGAGCCAAGATCAAAATCAAGAAGGACCCTGGTTTTGCGGGTCCTGGGAAGACAAAGGATAACCTTGACCCACATTAAAACGTCTGCAACGCTGCTTTCTCTTGTCGCCTGGCTCCCTGCATTGGGGTTGGAAGCGCTTGGCCATCTTTGTTTTGGCCTATTGGCTAAACGGCGCAACTGAAACAGAATGCACCTCCCAACTTAAGTCAGGTTCGAGGTGTGAAGTGTGCATCATTGTGGACCCGACCAGCACCTTTCATAGATGTTGAGCATATGAACAACCAAGAAAAAGAAGAAGAACAAGAAGAAGAAGAAGAAGAAGGAACAACCAACAGAGATGTTCAAAACTAGTTTCAACCAAAAACCTTCTGTGCAAAACATACCTGTCGATGCCAGCTATTCCCCGGAGAACATGTTCCAGCCAAAACGTCCCTCGAGAGACCCGGCCCTCTCTTCGGTGAGGACTTCTCCTGCCGGCCCAAGGGGGTGGGAAGTTGGAACTCCTAGTGCAATCCCACAACTGTTCCAGGGGCTGATTGCATTTCCATTCTTTTCAGCCATCGTTCTTGTCAAAACCCAGCCATTTCCCCAGCGTTTTTGGTGGTTTTCTAGAAAGAAGGAACCTTCCATGTCCATTCTTTCCAGTTGGATCCTTCTTTTCAGGAAACCATCACAAACCAAGGGGAAACAGAACCGGTGTTTGAAAAGAACGATGGTTGAAAAGAAGAATCAAGCCCTAGAACTGTTGGAGACCGTCACAAAAAAGCATCTGGGGTCCAAAACCTTCTTGCAAGGGACTTTTAAGGACACCTTCTGGTTGGTTGATCAAAAAAATCCTGAAGACGTTGTCCCTTTTTTGGGTGGTTTTAAAGGGACTTTTTCTTTGCCAGGCGAATCCAAATAACACCTTTCTCGGAACAATGCGTGGAAAAACTTGGTCTGTGCTTCCGGATTGAGTGGTCAAAGACTCATTCCAAGGCGCAGTGGATGCCTGGTCGAGCAGAATGCTGTACAACTGCCTGCGGCAACACACAGGCATCTCATACCCGGATGCGCCTTGCGCTCCTTCTCAGGTCGCCTGGCGAAAACCAGAAGGGGAAGAATAAGGAAACCGATCAGAACGCACCAGCAATGACCTTTACAATTTTACTCCAGCCCTTGAGAATGTTCACTCCTGTGAAGCTGTTTGAGGCCGCATGGCTGAGCGATGGCCAGGAATCCACAGGAGTTTTCTTTCAGCTCAAGCTGCGGCAAAAACCAAGCTGACAGTGGATGGCGCGCTTCTCTTTCTGGAGAAAAGAGGAATGACGAAGCCACGAAAAAATCGGGGCATCCGCTTCCCGGAACCGCATCCATGCCCAACGCCAGCCAGGAAGGCGCTCGTTGCGGCTGCGCCCGAAGCTGCATCAGCAGCTGCTGGTGCTGAGGGCTCGACTGCCTGGGACTTAGGTCACTGTCTTTCGGGCGAGCCGAAGCAAGGCAAGGCAAGCAAGGTAAAGAAACAGGTTCAATGATCAGGTGTCGAGATGCTCGTTTGCGCATGTATGCTAAGATTTATATATATATATATGTGCAACCCCCCCCATGGACCCTGGTTTTACAGCCTTTTCGGGATGGCAAATCCAGAATCTCCAAATTTAGATTCTTGAAATCTCCAATTGTGGGTCCCCAAAGCCTGATAGTTTGGAGCCCGGAGTCCTCCATAATGTCCCAATATGATACCCTTTCCAAATAGGGCTTTATTTCAACTAGAATAGTAGGGATATAGTTTTCAAAAAGGTGTTTATGTTCAATTGCAGCTCAAATAAGCAAATCCTTTCCAAATAGGAGCTACATGAAAATGCAAATAGTAGTTTCGGGTAAACTCCAACCAATCTTTAACAAAAGAAAGTAGATAGGAGTTACTCCCAAATATAATCCAAGTGGTAAATATAATCTAGTACAAACACAATTCAATTAGCGTTTGATAGTAACAAGTAAATATAAACTACTTCTCAAATATAATTTATATTAAATATGGCTAAACATTTAAGGAACTTCTACAAGGAAATTCAAAATACGATTTGTGTTATTTGCATTCTGGCCCTTTCATAGCATAAGAAAGGTTCAAATGGTCGAAACAGGGATTATAGCTAACATAGTTGTATTTAAAGGTCTATTTGCACAGGAAACAAAATTAATTCTATCTTAAAAGGTGGAGGCAGTAGATGAGCAAATGTGGACAGGTAGTTCAAGAGTGGGGGGTAACGGTGTGTGAACATACATACACATGTATACCTATATATACACATACATACACACATATATATAGTACCCTAATGATCCGGCGCCTCTTCACAAAATACTGAAAAATACAGTGTTTTTGAGCATTACACCTACCTTTGTTTACCTTCTGGAAAAGGGTCAACATGAGCATAGCTGGCAAGAAGCTCACCAAAACCACTTAAAAGTTTGTCTAACCAATAACTTGAAAGTGTTTCCACTGGATCGCTAAGCACTTGAACGTATGCTACCACTGAAAGAAAAAAAAGATTGAAGATTACACAGACAATTTTTCTGAGAATTGTCAAACCTGGCCAAACCCAAACAACGTTCAAGTTCTTCTAACACTTGAAAGTGCTTTACCACTGGATTGAGGATTCAATATTGAGGATTGCACAAACAACAACTTTCCTGAGAATCATCCATCCTGGTCAACCCCTAAAAAATGTTCAAGTTGTTCTAAAACCTCGAAGGTATTTTACCACTGGATTGAAGATTCGGCATTATTTCACGGAAAGCTTTTCCTAGAATCTTCTTGAACGCCGAGAGTATTGGAACAAACCTGTTTTTTTGGAAAACAATATGGGATTCAAGATTCAGGATTCAAGATTCCCAGAAAACAAATGATTTTCTTGAATCTTGAATCTTGAATCGATAATTAAAAAAAAAAAACTGGGATTCAAGATTCAAGATTCCCAGAAAATATTTTCTCAGATTCTTGAATCTTGAATCCAGATTTTGTTATTAATTTCTGAGTTGTTCTTGTACTCTTGGATGCATTCCAACTCTTTCAGATTGCAGATGTTGATGTCATTGCTTTTATCACATCTGTATGCATGCATATCATATATACAAATCCCCCTCCCCCTAATGTTGAGATAAAATCCAAGAAGCAAAAGAAGGCATAAAACACTGGAAAATACAGGTCAAACGCACCAAACCAGGGTCCATGGGGGGTATATATATATATACTTTTCGGCAGGCTTGGCGGGTGTTTTGCTAACAGAGAACATGTTTTGAAAAAAATGTGGTTTGCTGCGGACACGGAAGACACTCTCAAAAAGTGGCGGGACTCCGGGACAGGTTGGAAAAGACAGCACTATTCAAAAAAAGTGAAGATGTTTGTGGCACATGCTAAGCATTGGTTTGCAGTTGATGACTCATACAAGCTGGCTGCGCCTTCTAATTACACTAGACACGGCCATGCGCCACTTACACTGGCCCCACTGCGCAAAAGCCAGTGCCTCAATTAAAGCAACATTCCGACCTGCAACATTTGATGCAACATATTGCAAACTTACAGGATGTGCAAAGTAACATGCTCCAGCAGGCCCCGAATTTAACGGAAAATATCTGTAGATTTCCATGCAGTGATGTTTTCTTTTGAGTGGGACGTACCACACGTATGTATGTACCTGTGTATACCTGCTTACGGATATATATATTATATATAATATGTTGTCATCAGCTACAGACCGGATGTTCAAGCTGCACAGTGTTCAATACTAGCTCTTCATGCATAGATCCAGGTTTTTGATGGGGTGCATAAGACTGTCACTTTGAGGAATCCCAAATATGAGCATTTTGAAAATCAGAGTAGAAGTGATCAGAGAGTGGCTGATAAGCAGGGCATCCTTCAATCGAACAGTATGCACCGGCTAGACTGGCTGCGCTTTGGGAAATTGCTCTAGAATCGTATTGGCGCAGAGTCGTGTGCCTCATGCAAGCATGTGCAAACCCAGTAGCACAGTACAGAGTGCTTTCTTGGCCAAGTACAGGCCATCGCAACAGCAAGAGGGAACATGCTAAGACAAGCCTGAAGACATGCATTTTCCATAGAGGACAACGCGAGAAGTGTCATGCAAAGCGATAGGGCGTCATGCAAAACGAAGCTTGCACGTACTCCGCCGACGTCCAAACCATTCCGGAGCTGTTGTGACCTCTCTAAACAGCTACCTCTCTCTATGTCTTCTAATACGTAGTTGTTGAACTCTGCATTCTAGCATGCAATTTGCACTGGCACTGAGCAAAAAAGGAAAACAAAGAACAGCTCTGACTTTCTCGGACCGGTCCAACATGTCACGCCCATTGGTTGCAAAACAAAGGTTGTTACGTATAAGCCCCAACCAAACACAAGGTGCGAGTTTTCAAATTGCCTCCACGCACCTAGCGTCAACAGGTTTCCTGTAGCGCCCGCCCGCCCGCCCGCCCGAAAGCAAGCGCAGTGGAACGTCGCCTTTGCTGGGCTCCCCACGGCAAAAGCTGCTGTTGCTGCTGCTGCTGCTGCTGCTGCAACAGCTGTTGCAACCTGAGATTTTCGCCGAGATTGTAGCGGTTTCGAGTACCATCGCATGAGCGGTCACAATGCGAATGTTCCCCCAAGAGGACATGGGAAGTCTAGTGAGTGTCCTTGTGCTTGTGAGCAAATTAGTGAAGATCCCGAAGCGCCTCCTCACTGAACCATGGCTACTGCAAACAGTGACCTCATTTGAGCTCCCGCGGGTCGGTTGCCAAACGGTTTTGTGCATGTTTGACCCCAGGTTGGGTCGCTTTACAGGAAAACCAAAAGAACCCCACCCCATTTGGGAGGCCCAAGTCCACTTTGGCTATGCGACAAAATATGGAGATCCCCACCTCGATTGTCATTCTTGCGTGTGCTTTCCCTTTAAGAACCAACCCCGAAAAAGGTACCACCACACCACCCCATGTTGCGCTCTTGCTGGTGCTTTCCCTTTAAGAACCAACCGCAACAACCCAAAAAAAGGCACCGCCACTCTAGGTGTACATTCCCCATTCTTTCCAGAAACTCTACTTTATACAAAACCTCCGGAACCCCAGGGAAAACGGCTCCAGTTCTTGGAAAGAAGGATGGCTGAAAAGAATGGAAAAGGAATCAACCCCCAGAGATATTTCCAGTAATCGGTTCCCTTTAAAACCAGGGTGATTTAAAAAAGAAAAACAGCAAATGGTTCCCTTTAAAACCAACAGGTGGATAAAACAAAAAAAAATAATCTTCAGCAAATGGAAGCCCACCTTCAGTCCCAAAGCCCAGCCGTTCGCTCGGGTCCCCGCTGCATCTGCTGCTGGTGCTGCGCCTTCTGGAGCTGCAGTTGCCTTCGTCGCGATGGGTCGGGAACGAGGCAATGAGCTTGGGGGGTCCCTTAAAGGAGACAAGACATGCTGTTGTTGGCTTTTGTTTTTCCCCGTGTTTTTCTTCTTCCTTTTGTTGTCTTTATGTGTATGTATATAAGGGGTCATTGCCTCATTGCCTGCTGGGCACCAGCAAGTACTTTGTTCAGACAGATTGCTGCCATGGTGCAACTTGTCGATTGTGCAACTTGTCGATTGATCAAGCTTCGTATTCGCCCTCGATATGGCTACGCGTGTGAGCCATTCGCAATTTTGAACCAGTCAAAAAACAACGTACCCATGTTTGGGATAAGGGAATCCCCAAACATGGTTGATTCCCAACACGCGGACTCGTCATTCCCTACCTATCTCACCAGCAAGTTTCTCTTGGCTTGGATTTATGTTGACTCCGGCTTAAGAAACCCCTGGCTTATTCATAGAAGGGTGTGCCCTTTTAGTGGGGGTTTCGTCACTTCTGGAGGAAGCAACCCTCTATGAATAGGACGTGCTGGGTCAACATTAGAGGGTGTGGTTGCTTGTTTTGATGGCACCTTTTTTCAGAGCTTCAAAAGCGAAATACAAGAAACCCAGCCATTTGGGGGGGGTGCCTTATTTTGGGACAACTCCTTGTTTAAACCATGGGATAGCCTTTCTTACATCTAAATCTAACAAGTTCCCATTGCAGCAGTTAGACAAGTGTCAAACTTGTTGCAAGAAAAACCACACGGCTTCCTTTCCACTAGCCCCTTGCTACAACCCCTGCTTGGTTTCCCAACGGCGGCCATGGCGATGTTTGAACAACTCCCC